TATATATATATATACATACATACATACATAAATAGAGCCTATTGTACATACATACATATACACATACAGACAGTACATACATACATATACACTGTACATACATATAAACTACATACATAAATAAAAAGTACATATACATACATACATAATACATACATACAGTACATACATACATACATATATACTGTACATACATACAGTACACACAGTACATACATACACACATACATATATACTGTACATACATACATATATACTGTACATACATACAAACATAATACATATACACTGTACATACATACAAATATACTGTACATACATACATAATACATACAGTACATACATATATACTGTACATACATACATACATACATAATACATACATATATACAGTACATGCATACATACATACATATTTTACATACATGCATGCATACATACATACATACATATTGTATATACATAAAATACATACATACATACATACATTTTAAACATGCATACAGGGCAGCATGGTGGCGCAACTGGTAGAGCTGCTGCCTCTCAGCGAGCAGGTCCTTGGTTCAAACCCCGGTCCAGGGGCGTTTCTGGGTGGAGTTTGCATGTTCTCTCCGTGCATGCGTGGGTTTTCTCCGGGGGCTCTGGTTTCCTCCCACAGACCAAAAACGTGCATGTTAGGCTGATTGGTAACTCTAAATTGTCCCTAGGTGTGAGTGAGAGAGTGAATGGTTGTTTGTCTCTATGTGGCCCTGTGATGGACTTGCGACCCGTCCAGGGTGTACACCGCCCCTCACACAGTGATTGCTGGACATGGGCACCAGCAACCCCCGTGACCCAAAATGGAATAAGCGGGTAAAGATAATGGATGGATGGATGTGCATACATACAGTACATGCATACATGTTGTACATATATACATACATACATACATATTGTACATACATATATATATACAAACATACAGTACATACATACATATTGTATATACATACAGTACATACATACAGTACATGCATGCATACATACATGCTAACATACATACATACATACATACATACAGTACATGCATGCATACATACATGCTAACATACATACATACATACATACATACAGTACATACATACATACATACAATCATACAATCATGCCGTACATACATACATACAGTACATACATATGTACATACATACATTCACACATTCATACAAACACACATACATACATACATACATACATTCACACATACATACATTCATACAAACATACAATCATACATACATACATACATACATACATACATACATACATACATACAAACATACATACATGCAATCATGCCGTACATACATACATACAGTACATACATATGTGCATACATACATACATACATACATTCACACATACATACATTCATACATACATACGTACATACATGCATACATACAGTACATACAAACATACATGCATACATACATGTAATCATACATACATACAGAATTGTAAAATGATTTGCTCCCCTTGATACAGTTCATTTTCTTGCCCTAAAACATGGAAAAGATCAGATTTTTAATTTAACTAAAATGTTACAAAATACTTCAAATTAATAAAGTATTGTAGGAAAAATGTCTTGTTTTAAATAATCTTATAAAGCTGCAATTTGTTGAAAATTTATGTATTCATCCTCTTTGCTTTGAACCTGGAACCATTACTCCAGAAGCCATGTACTTAGTAAGATCAGACCCTCCTGTGGGCAATCTGTCAAATAATCTCAATAGATATACACTGGTTTACATCTGGTCTAACAGCCCCCAGAATCTACTCCTCAAGTATGGTGATATTTCACTAGGCAGAGAAATGTTGGTGAACAAATGCATAAGAGTGTCTCCAAAATATTAGAACTTTTCTGTTTCTTGAGTTTTGAAATAACGTAAACAACTTTGTGCTACAACATTTTGATCCAAATTATTAAAAAGTCATTGTGGGCATCTCCGATCCACCGTAGATCGTACCGTAGAGTTGTGTGTTGACTCCTGCATAGAAGCTACTCTTTGACAAAACATCCAGGGTCTATCAACCATCCTGATGGTCGTTAGTCATGATTATTATTTATTACAAACGGTATGCCAATGTCAGGCAGCACGGCGGCGCAACTGGTAGAGCTGCTGCCTCTCAGCGAGCAGGTTCTTGGTTCAAACCCCGGTCCAGGGGCCTTTCTGGGTGGAGTTTGCATGTTCTCTCCGTGCATGCGTGGGTTTTCTCCGGGTACTCCGGTTTCCTCCCACAGTCCAAAAACATGCATGTTAGACTGATTGGTAACTCTAAATTGTCCCTAGGTGTGAGTGAGAGAGTGAATGGTTGTTTGTCTCGTTTGTCTCTATGTGTCCCTGTGATGGACTTGCGACCCGTCCAGGGTGTCCCCCGCCCCTCGCACAGTGATTGCTGGACATGGGCACCAGCGACCCCCGTGACCCAAAATGGAATAAGCGGGTAAAGATAATGGATGGATGGTATGCCAATGTCCCCCAGCGCTGAACGATTTGAATACTAAATGCTTGTAGATTTTGAGATGAGTATTTTGTGGACTGGAATTGAACAAAAAATGCAAGTAAACCTTAAAGTTTTTGGTGTAAGATATTCAAGATAATCAAGATATCTTCATTTTATTGTTTATTTTATTTTATTTGTTTATTTGTATTTAAACTTTATTTATACAGGTAGTCTCAATGAGTCACGAGCACTCATTTTCAAGAGTGTTAAAAAGAGAATTTAAAAAGTGTTCTGCAGTAGAGAACATTATAAACAGTGCAGTGGAGTGAAAGTGAGCTGAGGGGGTATACTGTAAGAAACTAAACAATGTGCACAGCCGAGTTTTACAACATGTTCACAAGAAACTAGGCTAATTTAAAAAAATCTGTCTGCTCAAAATGTGGCCACACGACTCGATCGCAAACATTCAGAAGTCAGTGAAGCAGATACAGAAAATTCTCTTACTTTTCCTCACAGTTTTGGTCAACAAGTCTCCAACAGCACAAGAGATGACATGAAGGAACTCGTCAAAGTTGTGGAAAAGTACCACCAGAACAGGACTGGAATATAAAACAATATTCCAGAACCTTGAACATAACACAAAACACCATGAAATCTATTATTATAAAATGGAAAGATGATGCCACCACAGCAAACCTGCCAAGAGAGAGCCGTCCACAAAAACTGGGAGTGAGTCAGGGCGCAAAGCAGAGGCATCCAGGACGCCAAGGAAAACCCTGATGGAGCTGAGCATCTCTTCTAGAGATGGGAGGATCTGCTCACAAGAACACTATGAGCTCCATAGGCCTGTCGCAATAAACAATAAATCAATTAATCGCATGACAAATTAAAATTATCGACTTCATTTTCATTTATCGTCTTTATCTTTTCTTCGTGTCTGTCTCTTTCTGAAGACACTGGATGATAAAAGGCTCAACTCCGGTGCTCTTCACTGACCACTCCCTTTCTCTTTTTTCTTTAAAATCCATTTTAACCGTCCAGAATTGTGTTTTTGGATCGTTAAAAGCAGCTAAGCTGAGAAGCTAAGCTACGAGCTAAGATAACAGGCCGAGCTCGGGAAAAAACCTTCGTCTTGTCGAAGCTCCAAAATTCACGGTTGAAACCCATGCCTTCATCTAAAAAGTTGTTTTTCTCTGCAAAAACAAGCTGAGAACTTGTTTACTGATTTTTTTAAATTTAAAGCTTTGTGTGAAAAAGGCTATGCTAAAGAGCTCAAACCACGCCAAGCGTCCGCCATTTTGGTCACGTCAAGGGGCCTCCCTCCCATTTTTCTGAAAGAGACACGCTGCTCGCTCCCTCACTATCCATCCTTCGGTTCAAATAGTCTTGTACTGCCAACCGGTGGTCAAAAAAGGTACTACATGCAAAACAAATTAACCAACATTTCTTCTTAAATTTGACAGTAATTACTAATTATTGTCAAATTTCAAACAATATTATCGTTTATAGCACGGTGGCGCAACTGGTAGAGCTGCTGCCTCTCAGTGAGCAGGTTCTTGGTTCAAACCCCGGTCCAGGGGCCTTTCTGGGCGGAGTTTGCATGTTCTCTCCGTGCATGTGTGGGTTTTCTCCGGGTGCTCCGGTTTCCTCTCACAGTCCAAAAACATGCATGTTAGTCTGATTGGTAACTCTAAATTGTCCCTAGTTGTGAGTGAGAGAGTGAATGGTTGTTTGTCTCTATGTGTCCCTGTGATGGACTTGCGACCCGTCCAGGGTGTACCCCGCCCCTCGCACAGTGATTGCTGGACATGGGCACCAGCGACCCCCATGACCCAAAATGGAATAAGCGGGTAAAGATAATGGATCTGGATGGATGGATTATCGTTTATCGCAATAATTTCTGAGACAATCACCCGGCAAAATTTGTTGTCGTGACAGACCTAGAACTCTGGAGAGCTGGGCTGCATGGAAGGAAAACAAGTCATCACTCAAACAAAAATTTAAAAAGCTGGACATCTTGGAATTTCTTCCCCATACAAGTGGAAGAAGATGCTGTGGTCATAAACGTTTGAGTTTGACATCAGTGATATCACTGTGGACAATCTTAACATGCTGTGAACACTCTCTGTGCAATGAAGCACGGTGGTAGTAGCTTCATGCTGTGTGAATGTTTTTCATCAGTGGGGACTGGGATGCTGGTCAGTGTTGAAGGAAAGATGGATAGAGCAAAATATGGAACAATTCTGGCTCTATACTGCACACAGCACTTTTTAGATGTATATTTGTTTCAATTCAGTTTATTTGAAACACAACCAGACGCCCTTATATGGCCATGGTGGGCGTGGCGCTCCTAAAGACCGGGCTGGATTCAAAAGTTCAGAGTGGGCTGTAATCCTCCTCCTGATCAAAGCGACTCTCGCTGGCTCCTGGCAGCGTCGTGCGAACAGAGCTGGACGCTGCGTATGAGGGAGACGGCGAGGGCAGTGACAGACGGTGGTACGGGGATGGAGGTGCAGGGTGGGACGGGGGAGGTGGGAAGGAGTCAGAGAGTGTGAGAGGAAGAGACTGGGAGTGTGTGAGCCTCGGCGAGGCGGGGGGTACAGCAGCTGATGGAGGCTCATAGTAAGGAGACAGGTGGGAGATGAGCGGGGCGGGAAGCGGCGCAGCCAGGGTGATGGCTGGGTTTGGGGGGGTGTAGTAAGGAGCTGGTGGCAGGAGTCCCACAAAGTTAAAGCTGCAAGGGTTGAGGTCGGAGGTGCACCTGGGACCCACCATCAGGACCTTTTTGGTGTAGTTGTTAAGGGTGGAGACACCAGCCGCCATGCAGATGGTGAAGGCAAGCCAGGCCACGCTGGGGGGAGAAGAGAGCAACAATAAACATGTTTGTGTTTATGTCAACAGTTTTAATACGTGTAGACACTGACTGGATGGTCTTTTCCACCGACGAACATTATTCTGAAATTTATTCCACTATTTTTACACAGAATTTTTTGCAAAGTGGCAAACCTCTGCCCATCTTTACTTTAAAGAGTTTTAACCTCTCTGAGACGCTCTTTGTATTCCCAGTCCTCCTGCAGACATGAAGCCAGTTAAACAAAGGAATTACAAAAGGCTCTTTCAGCTGTTTCTTACTCTGTGAGATGTGCTGCTGCCATCAAATTCAAACCTATTTAATTTTTTTTCCCTAAAAACGTGCAACATTTTGGGGCGACAGTGGCTGAGTGGTTAGAGCAGTCGTCCTCCAATGGGAGAGTTGGGGGTTCAATTCCACCAGCAGTCACATGTTGAAGTGTCTCTGGGCAAGACACTGAACCCCTCATTGTCTCTGATGTGTGTCCCATCAGTGTATGGATGTGATGAAACTCTGATCAGTCTTTGTAGAGATCTAGTAGAGTGCTGTATGAATGGATAAATGAGGCACAGATTGTGTCGTAAAGAGCTTTGAGTGTCTTGATAAGATAGAAAGGCTCTATATAAGTACAGTCCATTTACCATTTACATTTTTAGTTTGAACGTTTTATATTTTTGATACAGTTCTTTACTACACATTGTGAGAAAATATAGGTTTACGAAACGTGCATTTCAATGCACATGCTGAAACTATTTAACCAAACTTTTGACATTACTGGTACAAGTGTGTAAATTTATGGTAGCTCAGGTGGAGGACAGTTTTTATACAGATTCCAGTGATTAACTCAAGTTTGATTTTTCTACCCAAACTGCAGCAGATGATATAAATTACATGTCAGGCTTGACTTCAGTAGGGTTTATTGGTTCAGGGCTACAGCCAAAATTTAATGTAATTTAACTTTTATTTAACCAGGCAAATGCCATTGAGATCACAGATCTCTTTTGCAAGGGAGGGACCTGAAGGCAGCCTAACATACATGTTTTTGGTCTGTGGGAGGAAACTGGAGTACCCAGAGAAAACCCACGCATGCACGGAGAGAACATGCAAACTCCACTCTCCAACTCTCAGAACAGGAGAGTAGTTTACAAATGCCATCTCACACTTAACAAATCTGTCTTTTTCTTAAACTCCAGCTCTCATTCGCTGTAGGTCAAGACTTAACAGGGAGACAAAAATGAAAATGACTTATGTAATACTGATATTTGCTTCTCAAGTACACAGCAGACCCTCTTAGACTGGAGTAAAGGTGTGCATTATTGTTGTATAGTGTAGTTTGGGGCTTGAAATGTGAAATGTGTAATGTACATACTAGAAAGCCCAGGAGTAGCCATAGCTGTGAGGTTTAAAGTCTTCTGGTCCCATCGAGGCAGTGGTCTGAAACACCTGCATGAACATCATGTGACCCACCATCCCAAGCAGACCTGTCATGGAGGAAATGTGCCACTTCAATTAACCGTTTGCCATTCCATGTCTGCAACCAAGTTACTATTTCAAAATCTACTCCCTGACACCCACAAAACAAAGGAAAAACAAGAGTACCACACATGGCACATTATACGCCCGTCAACAAACTATTACACACAAATCTATAAAAATGGCCAGGACAAGCAAAGACCTTGTATAACCTTTGACCTTGATTTGAGCAGATCAGAAGTTATGGATGGGGCCAGAGAAAGTTTACTGACGTACAGAGATTGAATACTACGTTATGACGAGTGTATGAAAGGCTGAAGCACCTAAAAGGAAAGAGATGACTGGTCTAGAACAAGCACCAAGGGACAGAAGATGTGGAATCTTGAGAGGAGTGGTAGTGTTATCAGGTAGTTGCTGGAGCATCTTAAAACACTGAGTGAAGGTCAACATGAGGAGTCCTCTGCATCTAGACACATTAGACAGCATCAACATAAGTTGATGGAGTTCTGTTCTGGATATTGTGGGTTTGCATGAGGACAAGTGGAGGTCTGGTACAACATCCTGGGTGTTCAGAGGTCACAGTGACCTGATGTCAGAACTAGTGGGTACATGAGGACACCTATATTCCTGAGCATCATAACAGGTGTGCCTGCCATCTGGGCACAGGCATTGGACTCTTGTTGGACTACAACATCACCATTCCATGTGTAGACTGCCATTAGCACCGGAACAAAAACAGCTGTGTTTAGATTAGTCACTTGTTGGGGTAACTTGAGGTCATCTCCAGAAGTAATTCTGTGGACCCAGACAACACAGCTCTATGTCACTGACATCCTGCATCTGCGTATTAGCCCTCCTAGACAGCACCCTGATATAGTCTATCAGCTAAACCACACCTGTGCACACAGCATGAACTACTGGTGCCATGTTGAGGTCCACCAGGTCTTTTCCTAATCAAAAATATGTGGGATCAGCTCAGATAGTAATTCTAACACAGTGCTGAGTAGCCGAAGCTTTCCACAAGTGAAGTTTCAGTTTATTTCCACTGCTCCATTTGGGTGCTTATATATAGACCTGTCGCAATAAACAATAAATCAATAAATCAATAAATTGCATGATAAATGAAAATTATCTACCTCATTTTCATTTATCGGTTTTATCATTTCTTCGCGTCTCTCTCTTTCTGAAGACACTGGATGACATAAGGCTCAAAAGGTGCTCTTCACTGACCCCTCACTTTCTCTTTAAAATCTGTTTTAACCGTCCAAAATTGTGTTTTTGGATCGTTAAAAGCAGCTAAGCTGAGAAGCTAAGCTGCAAGCTAAGATAACAGGCTGAGCTCGGGAATAAACCTCCGTCTTGTCGAAGCTCCAAAATTCATGGTTGAAACCCGTGCCTTTGTGTAAAAAGTTGTTTTTCTCTGCAAAAAGAAGCTGAGAACTTGTTTACTGATTTTTTTATTAAAAGCTTTGTGTGAAAAATGCTATGCTAAAGAGCTCAAACCACATCGAGCGTCCACCATTTTGGTCACGTCAAGGGGCCTCCCTCCCATTTTTCTTAAAGAGACACGCTGCTCGCTCCCTCACTATCCATCCTTCATTTCAAACAGTCTTATACTGCCATCTGGCAGTCAAAAAAAGTACTAGATGCAAAACAAATTAACAAACATTTCTTCGTCATTTTGACAATAATTACTAATTATTGTCAAATTTCAAACAATATTATCGTTTATCGCAATAATTTCTGAGACAATTAATCGCCCAGCAAAATCAGCTATCATGACAGGCCTACTATTTTTGCAGCTTGAGAATAGTTTAGCTTTTCCTTTGACTTATTTGCAGTATGATAAATGGTAGGAGCAATAAATATACGCCCAATGCTTTGTTGTTGTTTTTTCTTTTGTAAATAATAAATTAATTTTTTTCTAATATATATACTTTTTGCAAATACGATGTAACGTCTTGAGTTCCTATGACGTCATTGACTAGTCAAAGTCAACTCGACTTTTATCATGTTAAAGTTGACTTTTAAAAATACGTAGTCGTTTAGCCCCTATTGTATATATATATATATATATATATATATATATATATATATATATATTTCTTTTTTGTGAGTGAGCCTTTCATTTGAATCTAAGAACAGCTGTACCTCCCAGGACGGTGAAGATAGCTGCGAAAGCGTTGAGCAGTTGACCCCAGCGCAGCGTGGAGGGGAACCAGGTTCTGATGCAGAGCTGCACAGAGAGCAGCGTGCAGCTGATCAGCAGCAACCCGATATACACCAGCTCCATGGACAGCGACAACCACATCATAGCTGGGAAGGAGGGAGGAAAACAGTCCTGATGAGGGGATAAATTTTAGGAAACTAGTGAACAAGAAACCAAATATTCACCTAAGTGTAAAAAAAACTTTACCCTTTTCATCTCCTGGAGTCAAGGTATAAAATCCTCGGCACTTCTCCTCTAAAGAAACAAATTGTAAATATAGCAGCATGTCGCATGAACAAGAAATAATTACATTCAAGTTCCACAAACTGTTTCCTCTTTCAGAAGAGTTCAGTCTAACATGACACTACAGTCTAATTACTGTGGATCCAGACCGGGAACAGCTTCTCTACCCGATGGAACCTGGCAGAAGATTATAGGATTTATTTGGTATAAATCTGGTGAGATGATGGTGGAGAGAAACAGATAGCTGCACTACAACATTAAAAGCTTTGCTGTTGTTGTTGTTGATGATGGTTTTGGAGACTATGTTTTTTACTTTGCAACATAAAATAAGTTCTTTAAAGACGTGCAGGTTGATTTACACATGCACAGAAAACAAAATAGAGAGAGAGACATGGAGGGGAAAGCAGTTTCGACCTGCCTCGGCTTCAAGTTAAGCTTCTTTGTGGCTTGATTACCAAACTGTTTACATGGCAGTTCCAATAATCTGTGTATAAATCTAAGTTCACTGAAACAGCACAAGAAAATTAAGAATCACCTACTGACATGTGCAGCGTTTAGAAAGAAACGTTTGGTATACTCATATGTGCTGTTTCAGTTCAATGTTAAAATGTTCTTTGTGTCTTTTGCTGCTGGTGAATATTACAGAAGGTATACCAGCTACGTTGTGGTGTTTGCTGAGTGTTGCTGTAAAGGTTTAAAACAGACTGAATTAATCAGGTACAGCTGTTTTTTGTCCCCTGTTGCGGAGCGAAAAGGGGGTAACTGGAAAAACCCTTCGTTTGTCCGTTCGTGTGTAAATGTTGTGAGAACTTGAAAAATAAGTGAGGTATCAACTTCTGTTTTTGTGTGTGGCTACATCTAGGCGTAAGAAAGTTTCCTTTTGAAAACTAGGTAGCCAGATCAAAATCCAACTTGGCCACCACCATACATATGTAAACTGGCCACCCCAGTCATTGGAGGAAGCTCTGCTTTCTAGTTTTCACTTTGCTTAAAACACAGTTTCCTCAAATGATGGGGTGGCCCTCAGGGTGGCCGTAGATTAATCTATGTTGGCCGAGGCCACCATTGGCCACCCTCTGGCTCAGCCATTGTACTATATGGTTGAACTCTGTCCAAGGGAGGTCAGTGAGGAGGGCAAGAAAATTACAGGCTATTGCCCCCCTCAGCCCCCCCTTGGTGGTGCCTCTGACTCTAACGTCTCATTGCATTGTAAAGACCGGTCAAGACTGGACCAGACGCCGTCGGCCCAGCCCGGGTCTTCCCAGGCTCTGGTTTTGTTTGCTTTCAGCAGAGTGCCGCCTCAACGTGGGCGGGATCATCATAGTAAGACTTCACAAATCTGAGCTCAGCTAAAACAGCACCTCGTTTGTCCAGGGCACTGGTGCTAGCCTTTTGTGTTTGACGTTTTTTCTACAGAAAACTAGAAGAAAAATATCATCTCTCTATCACACAACCAGCCAGAAGCAAGAAGCTGAAGGGAATGGTGGTAAGGAGCAGTCACTGGAAGCATGACTCATCTGTGACGTGACCCCCGGGCCAGCGAACCAATCAAAGGTCAGCAGTTTGAAGTACCTGCCTGGCCCGAGGGGCTGGTAAGCTATTAGTTGAACATTCTGTGGAAAATCCTTAAAAAACATAAAATCTAAACTGCAGTTGTAGAAAAAAGTATATTCTCCAAAAACAGTAATGAAAGCAAATTGTTTCAGAATGAGTCAAACATTTTTATACAACTTTGGTTGCGTACAGGTTTTTCTAAAGTTGCTGAACAGTAGTTTATCAGAAAGCATGGAAACAGAACTTTACTGGCCGAACAGCACTGAAGCACTCTTAATTACAAAGTGCTTACTTCACTGACCACGCTGAAAATATGGATTCAACTCCCATCTTCGTTCAAGCTCTGATCTAATCAGCTGCAAATGAGACGATGATAACTCGGCCGACGTTGATGAATCCTGTTAACCTTTCTCTCTCTCTGGCTTTTAATCCATAACTGAGTCCTGATGTTGTGGTCTAAATCTCCGTGAGCTGAACTCACACGGGTGGTAATCCTCTTTGAGTTGAGCATGCACAGCCTCACACACACAGTCACACACACACACGTATATATATATATATATATATATGTATATTTATATATGCCATCTTGAATTTTGATGTAACAGCCCAATTTTTTTAAATAAACCCTTCCTATGTCTAGATGCAGCCACACACCAAAACAGACATCAGTACCTCACATACTGTACTTCTGAAGTTAACATGCAATATATGGACAGGAAGGTAATTTCAGTCCCCGCCCCCCCGCTCCTTGACAGGGGACAAAGGGACAGAATGGTTCTGAGTCCACACTGAAGTGGAAATGCACCTAAAGTGGTTTATTTTTTCTTAGTTTGACCATTTCCTGCATGTTCATCTCTTGTTTCTCACCCCACTGGTCAGCATAGATGTTCTCCTCGCAGATGATGAACAGGCCTGTGTGGAAAGCAGGGAAGACAAAGCGGTCGTCCCCGGTCTCCCAGAAGAACTGGATGTTGGAGGTGTTGGACACTCCGGGGACGGGGATGCAGTGGGTGTGCTTGGTGGCCGTGCAGAGCGGCTTGGGCACCTTCTGCTTTCCCACACACCAGAAGGAGGACATGAGGGCCATGGTGTTCAGGAGGAGAGACATGACTGTCTGGAAGAAGGACAGGGGAGGGGAGCGCATCCTCTGAAAGAAGGCCATCGTGCACGTGATGGGCTGGAAGGAGAGCAGGGAGGGAGAGAGATACGGCTACTTTATGTTACAATAACTCTACAGCTGTAGTGCCCAAACTTTGCAGCTTCTGACCTGCAAAATATTCCCAGCAGGAACTGGTGTCGCCGTCTACTGCTGGTTGTCGAGCAAACACATCGCTGGATAGACAAACTGAACTTTTACAGAACGAGCAGCGTGAATGCTGAGCGCTGAACGACAGCTGAAATTAGCAGAAGAAGCTGAAACTGAGTTAAAGTTAAAAAGGATCAAAATGTGAGTTAAAATCCAAATGAAGCAAAACATTACATCAAAGTACAACAAGGTTAGCTGAAGGCTAAAAATGGCAAAAGGCTAGCTACAAGCTAATAGTAGCAAAATACAGACAAAAGGTTAGCAAAACGTTAGTAGGGAAAGGGCAGCTAAAAGCTAAAAATATTAAAGGGCTAAAAAAAGGTGTAGCTGAAGGCTAAAAATGGCAAGCTGAAGGATATAGCAAAAGACTAGCTACAAGCTAAATGTAGCTAAATACAGACAAAATGCACAAAATAACAAAAGGCTAGCTACAAGCTAAATGTAGCTAAATACAGACAAAAGGCACAAAATAACAAAAGGCAAGATAAAAGTTAATAGCAAAAGGGCAGCTAAAAGCTGTTGTTTAGCTTTTTTAGCTTTTAGCTGTTTGGCTAACTAAAGGCAAAATGTAACAAAATTCTAGCTAAAGGATAAAAGTAGCAAAGTAGCTGAAAAATAAAAGCAGAATGGTGTTCAAAAAAAGGCAGAATAAATATATAGAATAAGTATTCTGAAGTAAATTTCAATAAATTAATTCAAGGGATTTCAATGTATTTTATGAGGAAAATGCTTGTAAACAAAAAAATTACATTTTGAAAAGTATAGGCTACAAGTAAAAAAAAGTCAAAGGACCCATTCCGTCAATAAGCTGAATGTTTTGATTTATGAATAGCTAAAATGGCATAAAGTATGCGAGGTGGTTAGAAAGCAAAAACTCTTAAACATTTATTTAAAAAAAAACAAAAAAACCCAAAAGTGAATAATTTACCCATTAAGTGAATTTAACTTGAAGAGAATGATCCCAAACAGCCTCAGCAATTGTTTTAATAATTTTTTAATCAATTTATAACAACTTTTTTTATATTTTAAACTTACATTGAACTCTTTTCCAAGTGAGGCTATCTGGAAAAGTTACCTATAATATCTTACCTGCTGTAGATAGCTCTTTACACGAGCTTAATTAGGAACAACAGAGTTTAATCCTGACCAGGCTGACGAGCTAATGGCTAGTAAGAGCAGAGCCAAAAACAAAGTGGATCACCACCGCTTTAAAACAGATCCAATCTCAAAAGCTTCACAGTGGTTCTGCTCATGAAACACTGCTTCGTTTCACCACTATCAACTCTGCAAGTCTTGGTTATTTTCATTCAGTCCAGTTCAGTGATTATTTACAAGTGCATCACAGCTGCTGGCTGTTTACTGGTGCAGCCAGTTGTAGTTTCTGCTTATTGTTGCAAGATCCTCTAATCTGTTGTTTCACGGCCCACAGCGGAGCGTCCACCTTGACTAGGGAAGCGCTGGTTTAGAGAATTTGCAGTTGGATCCAGATGCTCTTTTGAATGTCACTAAAAAGGCCAACAGCACGTTGTTTCCATCAAGAAGCAGCGCTGCACAACTGCCACCATCATTAGTGAAACACGACAGAAAAAACTGATCAGGAGCCAGTGGATTTACTTCACTGATTATATTTACACACTAAAAAAATATAATATGATTTACAGTATATGATATATGATAATTAGCTGGAACATTGTTGTCCAAATTAGAGGAGAAAACTGAACATTTTCAAGCACTTTATAACAAACAGTATACAAATAAAAATAGAAAGAGAGGAAAAAAGAGAGGACTTACTTGATTCAGTCTTTTACTTTATTCCTGGAGGTGAAAAAACATTCAGAGTCCGCTCCGCTTTCCCTCCAGTCTTCATCAGATAGTGTGGAATGAGGTGGGATCCTGGACCTCTGCAGGGGACCGTCTGACTGTCACTCTTTATGATGCAACTCATCGGTCACGCACACACACACACACACACACACACACACACACACACGCACAC